GGGATGGATTGTTCGGGAAAATGGACTGGGAATTGATGGATTGGCGAGAGACTGATTTCAGAGTGTTGGTTTGAGTAGGTACATTTTGAGAAATTCGGATATTTCAAGGTTTGAAATGAATGTTTGGGAGTTTGGGAGTTTGGGAATTTGGGAGTTCGGGAGTTTGGGAGTTTGGAAGTTTGGAAGTTTGGAAGTTTGGAAGCTTAGGAGTTTATGAATTTAGGAGTTTAGAAGATTATGAGTTCAGAAGTTTAAAAGTTTAGGAGTTTAGGAGTTTAGAAGTTTAGGAGTTTAGGAGTTTAGAAGTTTAGGAGTTTAGGAGTTTAGGAGTTTAAGAGTTTAGAAGTTTCGTAGTTTGAAAACTCGGAAATTCAAGAATTCAAATAAAACTTTCAAATCTCGAAAAGCCTTCACATCACTCAAATATAAAAGCGACGAGGAAACTCGTAAAAACGAAATGAAGATGCAATGTTCCAGTTTTTCGATTATACAACGATCAATGTTGCGCTCTAAAGTGTCCCGAGCGACAGGGCAGAACGTCCCGAGACCAATGTCAATTTTTAAATTGAAACTTCTGCTTTACGACACGGCGGAACGACTCGATCAAGCCGTAAAAATACCCCAAGTCACTTTTAACCTCTCCCATCGCACGTTCCGCCAATCCATCTTGTAATTCTTAGTCGACGTTTTTTCGTTAACACACTTAAGTTATTTCTGTTCTCAAACTTCTCGCCGTCTGAATTCCGTGATACATTCTTCTTCCGTGCCCTCTGTCTCGCGAGGGAATTTAACTTCATCCAACGTTTTCACCGCATAATACGTAGAATTAATTATTCTCTTCTCAAGGATGTACGTAATAATGTCTTTAGCTATATTTTCCAAGAATCGTAACCAATTCATCATGATTATGCTGCAGATTTAATGCGTTCATTACAAGCATCATCGTTTAAAGCGCAAGATCCGTAGAACCGTAGAAAAATCTGATAATTTCCGCCGCTTCATTTTCAACGAACCGAAATCGTCGAAAGAAGATATTCAGTTTTATTCACTTCTCAAAGGAAAAACAACATTTTTAACCGTCGCGTTCGCAGGCGAGCGGCCAACGGTTCGCGGAACGAAATACCGAAAACTCTTCGTGAAGAAGATCGCAAAAAAATGCGCAACTTCGACTTCGTTCAACGAAATTTCACGTCCCATTAGTAATTTATCGGTCCACTCGGTCAAACGAGTCCGCCAGAAAGAAGAACCCTAATTGCTGAATCGTTAGAGCTATCTGCAGCGCACGACAAACCGACGTCAGCGGATTTTCCGACCATAGCAACATAAATCACCGGCGCAAAGTGAATGAAACGACGGCGAATTGAATCGACGCCGTGTCGAAACTGGAAACGGCTCGCCATACTTTCGACGGTAAATCCGTTCGAATTAACGACAATCCATAGCCGCTCGTGAGCACGTCAAAGCTGCCCGAAAATCGCAGCCGTATGACAAACTTTAGCAACCCGTCTATCCCGGTTTCGTTTTCATATCCATATTCGCGATCGAGCTTCATAAACAACCCACTGAACCATTCTAAAAAGATCAACCCTCACCGAACGACGATTTTTCAGGGAGCGACAGAGAAAAGTCTCAATTTCCACTGATACTTGAGCTTCGTACAACTTAAAAACAAACGTTCATCCTCTATTTACAGCAACATCAATTCCAAAAAGATTTATTTATATTCTTTCGCGAAACGTGAAGCACGGAGAACACCAGTTAACAAATTCATCGAAACGAACAGACTATTAACGAAATTTTTACAAAAAACCTGGAATCCTTTCAGAACCTTCCAATTTAATCAACACGCGCACGCATTCACGATCAATAGTGCATATCGATATCCTCGAAACCATCGAAAATTTCATTTAATTATTTACTACCAATTTTTAGGGACACCGTACGCATCGGAAACCGTGTTACTGCATAACTGTATTACCCGACTCATCGATCGCGGCGAACGGTTTCTCGATCGAACGGGCGCGCGGCGTAATTTCTGCGTCGCGTAACAAAGGGTATCGCGTGTCCGGTTCCGGCCGGCGAATTTTTCTTGGTGGCGTCGCGGGGGACTGTTTCCCCGCTAATTACGCGTACCGAGAGATACACGTAGCGACACGTGGACCCGGCTGGCTCGCGTAGATCAAAGGTTGTCCTAACAATGTCGAGCGAGGCTGAACCCTTGTCCCGTTGCCCTTTAACCAGGCTTTCGACCTCTCTCCCAACTGAATACGACGAGACCCGTGTCGTTATTGGTCCCGCGCGACCCGGTGAACCCGACGCGCACCGGCGCACGGAATAATTATGCAAAAATTCGAAGGCTAATAGAAAATTAATGTTTCGCCGGATGCGCGGAATGCTCGGCGCGTCCCGGCGCGACGACATTAAATAGCGATCCGGTTGCGTCCAAGGAATAAGAGTCTGCGATATGATGTGACTGGAATATGCCCGAACGTGTCTCGGTTAATAAAATATGGAATCGCGATTGAAATTGTTGAATCGTAATGGAACATTCGTCGTAGAGCTAAAATTCGCTAGTTCGGTTATTCGAAAATGTAGCACAGCGAATTCATGTTGTACTCGTTGTTCTCATTTTGGACATTTTTACGGATACGTTCGAAATACTGACACGAGCGCAGATTTCCGCGAGCTAATTCGGGGGAACTAAAAGGGGGAACAAAAGTTCGTATACCCTATTAAAAGTTTCCCCGGCGTCTAAATAAGAGAAAAATTCCATTGAACTTTGCAGGACTTTTGTTATCGAGTTCCGAGCTTCGAAAATCGAGTGGAACGCAAAACAAGAAATCCATTACGTCGTCACATATTAAAGGTCTACTTGCAAATCATCCTATAAAACTAATACTCACCGAACAAACTTACACCGACCCGTTCCATCGCCTTATTTCGAAACAATTGAACCCCTTAAAAATTCTTGCCAATAACCGAAATAAAATCTCGACTCACGATATTCACGTAAACCACTCTTCAATCCTCAACTCATCAATGTAGAATCTAAGCCGCTGAATGAATCTTTATTAAATAATAATCTCATTACATTGGCAACAATATTTCAACGCTACTGTTCATTTCAGCGTCCACATCGAATAACGAACAAAATAGCAAATATGCAGCGTGCGAAGAAAAACTTTTAAATCCCTGAAAATTCGCGTCGGCGGTTAAGGGTTGAACTCGCCCGCGCGCGCGTAAAATCCGTGGCTCATAAATTCCGGTCGACGGAAATCACTTATCCCCGAGCGAAACGGTAAATTACACGGTTCCACTCGCCGTGACTGACAATCGTGGCTGACTTTAGAAACGTCCGGTACAACCGTGCGCGCACGATCGCACGGCTGGCCATGTTCGTGCGCGGACGTGCGCGACACAGCGACAGAAGCGCAGCGGCGCGGCCCTGTCCGTGTGAAAGGCAGCCTGGGCCCGTGTATCGCGCGTTGTATGGATGTCCAATGGGCAAATACACGCTAGGTCGAGCACGAAGGCATCAGAAACTGTCGTGTCATTACTCTGTTGCGACTCGACGTTGAACGGGCCGCGCGTCGAGGATCGTGAACGGCATCCGTTCGTCGTTATCGAAGGGCGTGGTGGTCATTGCGGTGGTCCTGCCATCGATTTTAATGCCGTACACTCGATGACAGACGTACGGCTAGCTGATCACTCGATGGGATTCGGCTTTTGCTCGGTCAATATGCTGTTGGATTTATTTCTTAACGGTAGAGCTACCCTTGCTCTCCAAAATGGCGGATTTAAGGTTTCTCGCAGTTACTGAAGTTTCTGGAGTGTTTAATGTGAGACGATTTTGAAAATTGCATCTAATTATTGTGGAATATCTGAGGAAATCGTAGAAGATTGTATTGTTGCAATCTTTATAGGGATTGAACATCGACCCTAATAAACGCACGGTAGTTCTAGTGTTAAGTCCTGATGTCTTCAATCGATGATTTAGTATTTATCTATAGGTAATACTAATTTTGTCAACAATTGGTTAGTTATTGTTCAGGCAGTCTGATATGTCAACACGCTTCGATTAATATTCTTTCTTAATATATTGATAAGTATGATTTTGGACAACAGTTGAACGCGTTGGTTCATCGATCACTGTGTTAACAACCGTAATGTTTGCGTTTATGTACACTGTAATGTCGCAGTGTCCGCGCCTGGATTGTTTATTTTCGTTTATTGGCGTAAATGATGATTCGCTCGGAACATTTGAACAAATAATTGTAGCAATAATTGATGAAATATTATTGAAGTAGACTCTGAGAGGATATTTAATTGTTCTTCATGATTTTTGTACAAGGGTGGATATTATGTTTCGTTGTGTTCGATGAAAAAGCTGTATTGCTCGTTATTTCGTTATTATTTTATACGGGCATCGTGTACTATGGTGTACTCCATATCTTTGATACACGAGTAATCGTTCCATCGCGTAATCAAGTAATATCAAAGTGCTTCATTACAGAAACACCTATTCACGCTGGATCCCCGAAGTCCAAGTAATTTAATGGCGCACGGGTTTAATTGATGAATCGTCGACTGGTAATAACTTAAAAGCGTCCGCCACGGCGTCACGAGCGTCGACCGGTATCGGTAACGAATTAACCTTAAACACGCAACTAATTTCCGGCTGGCCATTACGTACATTCGTTAACCGGCGCGACGGTTGAACCAAATTTCGAGGAATGAGACCACAGCAATATATAATTCACTAATTTCCCGGTTAGTAATGTTACGCGTCCTCCGCGCTTAGATTTCGGTAGCTCTAACATTTATTTCGTCATTGTTCTGTCCGTTGATAATTCTTCATTTTCTAATTTAACGCCAATCGAGATTAATTCGTTAGTATCAGTTGCAATTGAGTCAATACTTTCCAAAAGTCAATTTTCAATTTTTTAAGTTGAATTCTGAAATTTTATTTTAGAAAAATACGATAGACGGCGGGTACTCACGTCAGAATACTTGGACCATTCAAATCTGACCTCTGGATGGACCTCCGAACTGCAACTCCCACGCTGAAAAGAATAAAAACATGATTTATTATTCAATACAATTTATAGATACTCAGACGTCGTTTCATCGTTCGCCGCGAAAGGGAAGACAGAAAATAACAAGCGTGCCTCGGATATGCTTGTTACTTACGCATCTGACTGACTAACAAACCGGAGACTAAATTGGGAGATCAAACGGCTGATATATTATTCATACAATTATACCGATAACGCAACGACAAAAGAAGCGTACATAGAACACGAAATATATATTATAGATCGACGAACGCGAGCAAATAAAGATCACGTTGTATCAAAACAACGACCGTCAATCAATTAACATGTTTGATTCGCTATTTTTCTATAAAAGTCAAAGGGAAACGTTCAAGATTCATTTCAACCATGATGAACAAATAAACTCATTTAATAATCTCCAACCGTACATTATTCAATAATTTTCCCTATAAAAATCAGAATATTAAACACTCTCAAATTATTTTCCCATTAATCACAAAGAAAGGTTCAGACAAAATTGAACCAATTCGAACAATTGAACCAACTCTGTTCCCTTATCCCTTTGGAAATCGTCATCGTTTGTTGTAATCTACTCTTTGGCGAACACTCTACCGTTTTCGCTTCGAAATCAAAGTCAAACATCGCACGCAACAATTTTCATAATTATTGTACAATTACAAACAGCGTAATTCCTATTTGAAACCCTCTCTGGGACGGAATTAAGCGTCGAAGTAGCCGAAATCGCAGGACTACGTCGATCTCTTTCCTAATTCCTCTTGGAAACCAACAAAAATCCTCTCCTCGTCCAACGTTCGCTGTTCTCCGGCCCCCTCCCACCCCCGCAACTTCCTAGATTTCCCACCTATTCCCATGGTTCCGCGTTCGAGAGAGCTTCCCTCCCGTAGAACGGAAATCGTAAGCCGCTTACCGACTTAATGGACCCGACGAAAATTCTACTCGTCCGTGGCGGGTACCGCGCGGCCTTCTTCAACCCCCGCGCTTCACCTTTGCCCCGATACGTCCGAGGTATAAACAGAAAAACAACGGTCTGCCGTGACCAGATAGGCGACGGGAGTTTTTCTCTCGTCTAGAAACGAGAATTAGGGAATTATCATTACAGCGGAGATGCTTCTCTACGAATTTTGTCCTTTGAAAGTAAAAATGAAAGTGTTATCACTCGAAGACTCCAAAAACAATATCTAACCCTTGAAACCCTTACTTTAGAGTCCAGTCTACATATGTCCATCTTCCACTTCCTATTTCCATTAATCTGAAACTCTCAATATCTAATCTAACGCACCGTGCAATCATTCCAACGATAAATTAGGAAGGTTTGCTAGGGACAATGATGAAACTAAAATTTCCTTAATGTGTCCGGTAGAAATCTTGTTAGCGGATGTCGAAAATCACTGTAGAATTATATAATTTCGACGACCGTTAAATTTTTAGAAACCGTTGATCATCCTACGGCAACAACGTGTATTTTCCATCGCAATCAGAATTTTTAGGAATGAGACTTAGGATTACTTGCCTTCGAGGAAGCTAGAGCTCTAAACCTGTAAGCTTCACTAAAACTACCGACCAGTAAAATGGACTTTTCGAAATTTCTCTATAGAAATTCGAAGAGCGCGTCCATTGAGACTTTTGAGAATTGATTAAAGGAATTGATTTAGCGATACGCGAACTGAACTGTGAATCAATTAAATCTGCTACCTTTTAGTAATTGCAAAGGGAAAGAATCAGACATGACTCATTTTGATCTATCTAGTAGCTTCAGTATTATACTAACGAACTCAGTGTCACAAATATTGTAGTCTTTATTTACCAACACAACTCCAACTACCCCTCACAATAATTTACCGTCGTGTGCTCCAATCATCGCGGTTTCATCTATTAACCCTTTGCACTCGATGGGTAACTCTCAGTCACCACTTGATTTAATACAGCAAAATTATAAAGATCTGTATATAATATCAAGTTTTGTATAATGCATCAGTACATGGAATATTGAAACAAAGTAACTTCCCTTCTTAGCTCATGTACGTTTCATTAATTAGTATAGTGTTACTATAGTATAAATAATGAAAGGGTGGATCTTAACTAATCGAGAGCTAGGGATAAATATATGTATTTAATAAAATAAAGCTAAAACCATGGTCAAAATATAAAATATTTCCCCCACAAGCATTTTTCTCACTCATCACAAACACTCGGATACACCTCTGGAAAGCTGGCCCTGCAATCTTGGACCGTTTTACAGCCTTCACTCACACTCATTCTACATTCACACTTCTTAAAAATACCTAACCTAGGCTAAGAATTCTAGATGCTACATTAGTTTCAAAGAACATCTGTATCCCATCAGAGGATGTTACATATTTCTAGTGAAAAACTCTAAAGGGTTAACGCAGTCGAGTCACGAGCGTACGACCGTACAACGACAATTTAAGACCTCGAACGAACCTCCGAACGCAGGAATACCAAAGAATAACATTCGCGATCGTCTAACAGACCTGACATTTCCTCGCGACCAGAATTCCCAGTACTCGTCCGTGACACGCGTCCCCTGTCGTTCACCGCTACCTACGGGGAATTTTCGAGTAATAACGGGCCACGTATCGAGTCGAGTGGCACCGTGTCCGGAGCTTCCCGTGTCACGAGCCCCGTAGTCTCTCGTCGTCGGTTCCCGTCGAACAGAAACCGTTTTCCACCCTCTCCCTTCTTTCTTTGCCCTCTGTCCCGCTGTCTCTCCGCTTCTTTTTTCGCGTTCGCCCCTTGACGCAAATTGCCGCGTTTCAAACGCGCCGGTTAATTAGATATTTTCTTTTCCTCGACCGCGTTTACCCCCGGTCCCGGCGATGGCAAAGTTTCCCCGTCCATGTTATTTCTCCTTTTCACCGAGTAAGCTTCCCTCCGGCCTTTCTCTCGCGCGCGCGACCGCTAACGATTTTAACCGTCCCCTCCCCGCCGTTCCGCGACAATGAGAATTTTCAAAGTGCCTGAAGTACGCGATTGTGCCCGGCAATTCTCCCAGGGTTTATTGCTGGCGTTCGACGGTGTCCGCGGCGGTTCCTCGGCGGTTTCCCTCCCCCCACTTCGCGCGATCGACGCTGGATCTTTCGCTTTCCGTTCCGGGGGCGGCGAATTGTTTGAAGGAACGCGGTTTCGGGATTTTGTTTGAAACATTTGGGACGAGTGCGTACTGCGATTTCTGCGATTGCGAAACGGAACTCTGCGGTTGCCGCGGAATCTACGCTTGTTGGTTCTACAGTATCGCTTTGGACATTGTAGCTATTCGGGAACTGTAGTATCGTGTTTGTGACTACAGTATCAGTTTGGAAATTAGAGTATCCGTTTGGGTGTTGCAGTATTGGTTTGGGAAGTATGTTCGTTGGAAAGCTACGGTGAAGAATGAAGATTCCCTTGTTTTGGGAACTTGTTACGCTTGTTTTCATTCTTGGCGAATTGATTGAGATAAGGGCGAGATTTCGTGGATCTGGAAATTTGGAAATTGAATCTTAAATTCAATGTGAAGAGTTATTCATTATTGTTTCGTTGTTTATTATAAAAGAGTGCTCAGGTTGTTGCCAATAAATGTTTCAGTTCGAGGACGCAAAGAAACGTCGATTGTAAAGAAATAATGATTTCCAAGGGCAGAACTTTGAGAAGAAAATTAAATTGAAGTACTGCTGTAAAGTGGTTCGAGTACTTTCATTTACAACTACTTTGTTCCCTAACTTAACTTAACTGCTTTGAATAAAATGCTCCAGCAATTGTGGAAAAGACGATTGCCGAAGCACCGTGCGGATCTAGAGAAAGAAAGAAACTGACAGGAGGTACAAACAAGATACAATCAAACTATATTTCGTTACGCGATAAATTGCGCTAATAAGGTTTCCTGAGAGAACCTTCAAACAAAGTGTCTCAATCGAATATCCCGCTGTTGCGGAATGGACCGAGGCGAAACGGATCGTTTTTTATTCGACAATATAGAAGTGAAGATACATGAACATTAATAAGTAAGTAGAAATGAGAAAGAATGTTTAAGAAAAGTGGTTCATGCACCTATGGGAAATTTGAAAGTGCAAAATTGCACGGAATGCACGTGACACGAGGAAATGTATAAATTATTCGAAGTGAAGAATAATTCTTATAGACACCAATTTTCTACGATAATTCTATTTTTTTATTACCCCAAAAATTTGCATAAAGATTCACTGTCTGACGTAACAAATGTACAATTTCTAACATTAAAATTACCAAACAATCAAATTGAGTTTCTGAAATTTCTTTATAGAAACTAAAAGCGCATCTGTTGAGACTTTAATTGATTTACGTTTTCGTGGCGTTGAATAAATTTCTTTAATAATTCCTCAAAGAAACGTTTGTTATCTCTTCGATAATTGCAAAAATAATACCGCGTTTAGCTACTTTCAATATTCACTTTCATTTCCGTTCAAAACATTCTGTTCGTTCGATTAAGTTATCGAAGTTCCGCTCGCTGAAACGATTGCGCACAGAAATTACCCAGTAACGTTCGATTGCACAATCTCTGTACATGTACCTAAACTATATCGTGCATCATAAAGATGAAAATCCGATTCTAAAACACGTTCTCGCATAGGCGCGACCCGTTTATTGCTGAAAACTCCTGTTGACGTATCACAGGGTGAAAAGCGGGGGCAGAGAGTGTGTACCTCGCGGAAGAATACCAGGAATTTCGCCGTGCCGTGAAAGTTCGCGTCTACGATACAACCGGGACAACGTTATTCTTCGTCGAAACTTCGCCGTATTTGAATTTCAAAAGTTCCGGCTCGACGGGCGCGGGGAGAATGCCTCCGCAAGGAAAAAGTTCCGGCGGAACGAGCCACGTCGGATGGCTCGAATTGAAACACGGGGCCGGGAATACTTTGTCGGGATTCCGACGACTTCTGCCGGATCCTTTCGTCCCCGATACCCAACCCAACGCGCCCCAGCCAGACTTTCAATGAAATTTGTCTCATATTTCG